TGGCTTTATTCATGTTTATTGTCTTTGACTCCTGGACTTGTTTCCTTCATTCAGCTGCTGGATCTAGGTAGACAAATTGTTATACCAGACTTTTGTCAGAGTAGATTCATTAGAATAATAAGGTAATTTAACTTTCATATGCACCTGTATCTGGAGTACAAAGTTGCCTGGCAACAATGATGTCCTCATTAAAATTCAGAAAACCTCAAACAAAGTCCAGCCATTATTCTTCTAGAATGAATTTACATGTGAAGGAACGCCATGTTACAGAATCCTCCTGTTTTCAGAAGAAATAATTAGTTATTTAGAGAAATAGATTAATAAAAGCAATGCAATATTGTACCCTTTCTCTATCTTATAAGGCCAGTCTTAAGTATTTGATTAGTGTCATAGAGCTGGCTTTGCTTGCAAAGCACCCCCATTTCTTGGGCTTCAAATGTCAGAGTATGTGGAAAGTGCCAGAGGAATTTTAATTCATTGCCTTTATTTTGTCTCTCTTTTAAAATACTTATCTCAAAGTGATGTAAGAAAGGTGCAGATAAAAATGAAGCCATGGCTTCTATTATGATTTTTTTCTTTGTAGTCATGTTATTCACACCTTTGCCCTGTAGAGGGAGCAAGAAGGTTATAGTTGTTAAGTAGTCATAATTCCTGAAGAAACTCAAATCTTACCTCCCTTACCTCCCCAACCCAGATGGAAATTTGTTTCAGCAGGTGGGGCTATTTCCTTGGAAATAGTATTATTTATTTCACTCCTCAAGCTCCCCACTCTGGTCCTTTTCCCCCATTAAGGTAGAGAGGCCTGTGAGTTCTTTTCTCCCAATTCCTACCAGCAACAAAAATGTTAAGAGAACATGGCCAAAAACTAAAGAGAACCAACCCTCCAGGTGGCTTCTGGGCTGAAAAGTCGGTATATCACAAGATCCTTCGTTGATAGAAAAGTCCAAGCTATTAGAAAATGCTGTTTCTTATTGGTCTCCTGCTTCACAGGAAGCTTTCTCCATGATGACTGGTCCCAAATAAATAATTATAACTTTCTCTGAAACAAAAGCCTGTACAATAATGATGACCTAATTTCAACATGTACATTTTCTCTCTCTTGTGGTTATTGCTAAATTCAAGATGGGTTTGTGGTGCCTGATTCTGGATCTTAAATGCTACGCTGAATCTGAGAGCTTGGCTTGAGCTAGGTTTGGGAGTGGTTGGGTTTTTTCTTCTTTGACCTGACGTGGGCTGGCCTATGGAGGCTTTCAGCCCCAGTGCCTTCCATGCATAGACGGAACCTTCCTTCATACTGTACAGTGGGCTTGACATACCATCTGTATGCTGCCGATTCCCAAATTTTTATCCTCATCTCTGACCTCTCATCTGAGTGGTCTATTTCATATTACTGGGATATCTCATTGGAATTTCAAATTTAATAGGTTCAAAACAGAATCCCTGACTTTTCCCACTGCACACCAGTTTCTTCCCCAGGACTCCCCATTTCTGTAAAAATGGACAACCAGCTATTACTGACTTACGAGTCATTTTTGGTTCCTCAGCTTTCTTCACCCCTACCATCTAATCCATCAGCTAATTTTGTTAGTTCTACCTCCAAAATATTTCCTCATCCTGCCTTCTTTTACTTATCTCTCCTACTCTCTACTCCACTTCCAACAGGTATCAAGCTATGGTTATTTCTCACCCAGAACATTAGGATAGCTTAGGAGGTATAATGATGGCCATGGTTTGGAACAATTTCATGTGCTTTTCTATTTTTCCTGAATATATCTGCCTCTGAGATGAGATAAATGAGTGCAAACTGAAAGTAAGAGTTAAGATTTGGCTTCTGACAATCAAAAATGGGGTTCTGCAGAAAGACAGTAGGCTTAAAAACTAGTCCTTATAGGGAGAGAAAAGATTTTATAAATGTTTTTATTTTTTTATTTTCATAGCACAGAGTAGGCCTGGAAAATTAGACTGTGAATTTCTGCAATAACACATATTAATAGAATGTTTATTCACCATTAATGCTCAGTAATGAGGCAGCAGTTCAGAAGATGAGGGCTGTGATAATGAAGCGTGCACTCCAGCCTGAATAGATTTTTGGAGGAGGAAGACAGAGAGAAGGGGGTCAGAAGAGGTACATGGTGAGTTCAACACTCTGATCTTCCTTCTGGTCTCAACCCTGTAGAGTGGGAATTCTGTTAAATTCATAAAGGGAAACAGGGCAGAGAGGTTCCTTTCTTGCTTCCAGTCTGGGACACTGGGAAGAGATCACCTGGAAGCTGCTTGAGGGACCTTCTTGGCAAACCTGGAGGGTGACCACATGAAATAAATTCAGAGATGTGGTCAGGGAGAGTGATGGTCTACTTTGCATCCCCAATACTTCCTCTGTTCTCCCAAGACATGAATGCAGACCTAAGAGCTGACAAGGCCTACAAAGGCCTGTTGAGATAGGGGACTTACAGAGACTCAGAGGGGTTTGTAATGCCCGTGAGAGCTGAAATGAATGAGGCTGTCATACAAGGAGTCAATGGGTCCAACTGAGCTGAGAGGGAGCATAGACCAAGGTGCCTCCCAGCTGCAGCCTCAGCCATAGCCCCTAATGACACCACTGAGGGCTAATCACAAGGAGAACAAGGCACATTGCTGGGGAGCCAAAAGACCCTGCATGGTTTTAAGGACTTTTCCCTCAAAATCTTCAAGGTCATGTACACTTCTTTCTCCCCAGCACTATCCTGGGGGCCAGGGATGTTGCTGAAATCTAGAGACTAAGTATGTTTAGTGAAAGAGGCCGAGTTTTACCAAAAGAAAGATTTAAACTATTGTATTGATCTAAAGGTTATCCCCTGCTTTTTTGTTTTTCTATAGTGCATAGGAGCTAGTGAGCAAGAATAGATTAGATCTAGGGAAAGCAGAAGTGTAATTTCTCTGCACATGTGAGTTCTGGGGTGGCTTAATCACACCCCTGCTGCACTGGTTCCTTCCTGCCTCCACCCTTACCACTGCTATAGTACACACTCACACAGCAGGCAAAGTGGTCTTTAAAAGTGAGATCTGGTTCTGTCTCCTATCCCAACCTTCTAAAACACTTCCTGTTGGGCACAGAATTAAATAGCAGCACCTCACTATGGCATGGTAGGCCCCACATGATCTGGGTCCTATCTTCTGTCTGTCACACCTTATAGCTTGTCTAAGAAGCTCCAGCACAGTGGCCCCTCTACTCCTTGAACAGGCTATGCTATTTCCCATTGCAAGCTTTTGCACTTGGTGATTATGCTGATGCCTTCCATTTGCCTTTCTATACCTAGTCTTCAGTCTTTCTCATCTTGTTCTGTGTGCCAGTAGGCTGATGGTGTGAATTGCATCGATGAACACTCTTGCTTCCTGACTTCCTGTTGGAATTGGCCAGTGGGAAGCACTACCAGGAGATCAGAGAGAGAGTGAGGAGGAGATATTTATTCAGGGTATTTACCACCGCACGCCTGCTCCTTCCTTGCTGGCTAGTCACCTGAGGACGATTGCATCCCTTTACCAAAGGCCACAGCTCCTATCAGGGGTCCTCTCCATCTTTTGGTAGCCATTCCTCCCTTTGTCCCTGCAGGCCACGGGTGCTCATGGTTCCCCCCACTTTTGGTAGCCCTGGGTTTGGTAGCCCTCGGTAGCTAGTTTCATTAAGCTCTGCCTGCATATTTGCACATAGTCCCTTTTGAGTGTCTCCTGCTTCGTATTAGGCCTCAGCTGTCACATTGCTCCTTCTGTAGGCTCTCTGCATCCTGGTTCTTTCTCTTCCTTGAGCTCAGCTCAGATGTTACCTTCTGAGGCAGGAGTAAAGAGAGGGAAGAAAGGGCCCCCCCGACTCCTCCTCATCTCCCTGCCCACTCCCATGTCCGGCTTCACGCTTTTCATTGTGGTAGGAATACTTAATGTGAAACCTACCCTCTTAACAAGTTTTTAACTGTGCAACACAGTATTGTTTATGATAGGCACAATACTGTACCACAGATCTCCAGAACTTTCTTATCTCATGTAACTGAAACTTTATACCTGTTGAATAGCAACTCCCTATCCCATCCTTCCCTCCCCACAGACCCTGGGAACCACCATTCTACTCTCTGCTTCTATGTGTTTGACTATTCTGGATACTTTATATAAATAGTGGAATTATGCAATGTTTGTCCTGTGACTCTGGCCTTCACCCTTTTTTTTTCTTTTTCTTTTTCTTTTTGTTTTTTCGAGATGGAGTCTTGCTCTGTCTCCCAGGCTGGAATGCAGTGACGTGATCTCGGCTCACTGCAACGTCCGCCTCCCAGGTTCAAGTGATTCTCCCTCTTCAGCCTCCTGAGTAGCTGGGACTACAGGCGCATGCCACCGCGCCTGGCTAATATTTTTTGTATTTTTAGTAGAGACGAGGTTTCACCATATTGGCCAGGCTGGTCTCAAAATCCTGACCTTGTGATCCGCCCGCCTTGGCCTCCCAAAGTGTTGGGATTACAGGCGTGAGCCACTGCGCCCGGCCCCTTCACTCTTTTTAACAACATATTTTTAATTTCTTTCGTTGAAATCATGATAATTTGACACTTTTTTTGCCATTGTTTTTTACTTGTCTCTTTTATCTGGACTGTAAGCCAACAATGGAAGGAAACTTGTGTGTTTCACTCACTGCTGTGTCCCCAGTGCCTAGAACAGGGCTTGTACATAGGAAGCAGGAAATAAACTTTTTTTTAAAAGAAATGAATGGGGAGCTGATTTTTCATGCCCTTGAGAAGCCAAGATCTCGAGGCAGGCATATGAGGGGGTGTCAAAAGCAGGTCGGGAGGTCGTCTCACTTGTACTTTCATTGCCTCAAGGTGCCAACACTGCTTCTCAGGTACCATTTGTTAACTGAACCACCAATGCTTAGGAAGTAGAAAGGAAGAAATGAAATAATTGTGTTTCAGATTGAGCCCTTTTTCTGGAAACATGGAAGAGTGTTCCATACCATGCAGTCTGTCTGTCACTTTTACCTATTTCAGGTGTGTCCAGTCTCAGCTGGGAATGGAAGATGCTTTGCATATCTTTAAAATCTTCAGGCCCTAGAGTTGGCGATAGTGCAGAAAGAATACCACAGAACTTTTATGCCAGAAAATGGCAGGTGCTCCGAGGGCTATGTTGGAATGCTTGGACTGCATACAAATACCAAGGTGAGTGCCTAGCAGAGTGGTTCTCAACATTAGCCCTAAGTCATAAACTCCTCCAAGGGTTGTTTTCAGGAATCTGTACTTTTAAAAGTTTTAGCGATGCCTCTGGGGCCGGGATGAGGGCCACTGGTCTGACATAAAGAGGATGGGTTCTGCTTAGTTCCATAAATTCAGGGAGCTAATTATGTTGTTTTAAATTTCTTGAACCATTAGCACAGGGCTGATGAGCCAAACCCCTTTTATGTTTGAATCAATAGATGTTTCTTCCCATGTCTTTGGGAGTATTTCTCAGTAGCAGTTGGGGTCTTGAAAAGTTGGCATTTGAAGGCTAGTGTTGTTTTTTGTTTATAAAATAAGAAATGGAGATTTGGAAAGCAATTTAGCAATCTTATTTGGCCACAGTGGCATTGAGACCACTGTCTTTCTCCCTTTAAGCCTCATTATAACTCAAGAGTCCATTGCATAAAGCTCTTTTTGTTGTAAAATGAGACCCCCCCATCAGGATCCTATAGACAGTTTCGTTTCCTCTTGTTGCTTTCAGTACCCCCATACTGTATTTCTGTAAACGGTAACCTTATCAGTGAGTTTGGCATTGCTGGGTAGCCATTGCTGTCTTCAGGAGCCTTCTTCAGCTCATTTCTTTTTTGTTTGTTGCTCATAAAATAGCAGGCATCTGTGCACCAAGCTGATGTATTCATTGGTCCATGTAATTTTTAGTCCTTGTATGCACATTTAGGTTGTACAGATTTACAGTAATATTACTGCTAGAATTCTATTATATATCTCTTCCATTTATATTATGCCATGAGTTTTTTTTTTGAAGACAGGGTCTTACTTTGTTGCCCAGACTGGAATGCAGTGGGATGATGATGGCTCACTGCAGCCTTGACCCTCCCAGGCTCAAGCAATCCTCCCACCCCAGCCCCCAAGTAAGCTAGAAGTACAGGTGTGCACCACCACGCCCAGCTAATTTTTAAAATTTTTTATAGAAACAGGGTCTCACTGTGTTGCCCAGGCTGGTATTAAACTGCTGGGCTCAAGCAGTCGTCTTACTTCAGCCCCCCAAAGTGCTAGGGTTACAGATGTGAGCCACTGCTCCTAGCCCGAGTATTTTTCAGATCAACTTTATTGAGTATAATTTAAATATAATATTAATAAACTAGTGCAAATGATTGTACAGGTGGTTGAGTTTTTACAAATGCATTCATCTTGTAACTACTAACCAAAATCAAGATACCAAATACTTTTATTACCCCAGAAAGTTCCCTCATACCCTACTATGGTTAATCTCTCCTTCAATTTTTGGCCCCAGGCAACCACTGATCTGCTTTCTGTCACTGCAGATAAGTTTGCATTTTCTAGTATGTCACACAAATGACATCAGACATAGTTATGATTTTGTATCTCAATTTTTTTGCTCAGCATATTTTCAGATATAAATAATTTTCATTTAGCTCATCTCTTTTTTCCATACCTAATCTTTCTACTATTATCACAGCTGCTTTTTTTTTTTTTTTAGAGACAGAGTCTTGCTCTGTCACCTAGGCTGGAGTACAGTGACATGATCTCAGCTCACTGCACCCTCCGCTCCCCAGGTTCAACCAATTCTACTGCCTCAGCCTCCTGAGTAGCTGGGATTATAGGCACATGCCAGCATTCCCAGCTGATTTTTTGTATTTTTAGTAGAGATGGGGTTTTGCCACTTTGGCCAGGCTAGTCTTGAACTCCTGACCTCAGGTAATCCGCCCGCCTTGGCCTCCCAAAGTGCTGGGATTACAGGCGTGAGCCACTGTGCCCAGCCACCACTACTGCTTTCTTAAATCAGATAACTTAAGCTTGGTATGTGTATTTCCAACCCTCTATCAGTATTCCTACAAACATACACATACAAGGGAGCCTAGGTGATTTGGTCTGTAAAGGTCATCCTTACAAGATACAAAATAAGGTATCAAAGGGAGGGCAGAGAATGGATTTGGAGGGGCAAAGGGAAAATAATCAGCAGAGGTAGGTAGGTATTTCTGTTTAACAGATGAGAAAATTGGAAAACTCTGAAGGATCCTACAGTTAGTCAATGGCAAACCAGCATTCCAGCACAACTCTTCTGACTCCAAATCCCATCTCTCATTTCCCTCCAAGAGGGTTTGTTGCTCCATAAAATTTGGAAGGCCATGAGGGCAAAGAAATTTAGGACCTGGAGAAAAGATAATGTTAGTGATGAGGATAATGATGATGATGATGGTGCTGATGGTGATCTTTATGATGATGATGATGGAGGTAATGATGATGATAGTGATGATGAAGATGGTGATGATGGCAGTGATTATGATAGAGATTGTGATGGTGGTACTTTAAAGCAGCAATCCCCAACCTTTTTGGTACTAGGAACCAGTTTTATAGAAGACAGTCTTTCCATGAACCAGTGTTGGGGATGGTTTTGGGGTGATTCAAGTGCATTACATTTATTGTGTACTTTATTTCTATTATTATTACGTTGTAATATATGATCAAGTAATTATACACCTCACCATAATGTAGAATCAGTGGGAGCTCTGAGCTTGTTTTCCTGCCACTAGATGGTCCCATCTGGGAATGATGGGAGATAGTGACACCCAAAGTGTGTTGCTTATGTCCAGTCTACTCCATAATCTTGTTTGGGTTGCTGTCACTGCAGAAAACCCTGCTTCACAATGATAGAAAGCTGGAAATGGAAGCAGGATTTTCAGTGCTTTTAAGGCAGTCTCAGGACATTCCACCTTGACTTTAATCAAAAACATATGGAGATTTGAAGTTGTCTCAAACGTGCTTTTAAGGCCACCACATGCAGTTGTACACTTGAAGGACATCGACTCATTTGCTGCTATAAAGTCTGCCACCAGATGCAGCTTAATTGTCACTTGCCACTCACTGACTTGATATGAGTCTTCAAGCAGTTGATTTATTATGGTCTCTGTGCAGTCAAACCTCTCTGCCAATGTTGATCTGTATTTGCAGCCACCACACAGCGCTAGCATCACCACCTTAGGTTATCAGGCATTTCATTCTTCTAAGCAGCGTGCAACCTGGATCCCTCACATGCGCAGTTGACAATAGGGTTCATGCTTCTATGAGAATCTAGTGTCGCCGCTGATCTGACAGGAGGCTGGAGCTCAGGTGGTAATATGAGTAATGGGGAGCGACTGTAAATACAGGTGAAGCCTCGCTGGCTTGCCACTCATTTCCTGCTGTGTAGCTTGGTTTCCAACAGGACCAGTACCGGTCCGTGACCTGGGAGTTGGGGACCCCTGCTTTAAATAACACCCAGACCCAGGGAAAGCTGAAGGTAACAGAAAATAAAAACCCCCCTTTCCACAGTGCTTTCACCTGTTTTTTTCTCATTTCATCCTTACTACAATCCTGTGTGATGTGTATTATGGTCATTCCCATTTTAGAGAACTTGAATCCAAAGCAGTTTTTCAACTATCAGCAAGAGAAGCAGGTGATAAACATTTAATCTGCTTTTTATATTCCTAGTATTTGTAAAAATCAGTTCCAAGTATTTTAATGGCATGTTAGGCTTTCAATAAATTTGGTAAAAATCATCAATTTTTCATGCTTAAAAGCAAATTTTGTTCATGCCAAGTTACTGCTAAACTGTTGAGAAGGAATGAATTGAAATATATTAACTTAGAGGGATTTCAGTTTTATTGTCACTATCATCCTTAGATGGGGAGATGAAGATGCAGATAAAGGCATATAGTGGGTCCCATTTTGATTAAATATATGTTAAACATTCCTTCTTAAGCTATGGTGACCAGCAGGTAGGAAGAGAGAAAGAAGTCAGGGGTTTCTTCCCCCACCTCTGACCGCTTCCCTCCTTGCTTGGCTGGGGGTTAGGCAGATGGACACAGATCCTGCTGGCAGCCCCTCTCCCACAGCCATGTCCCTAATGGCCCTGACAAGATTCCCATAATATCATCCCTTCTTCTTGCCCCTTAGACTTAGGGGCAGTAATTGTTTCCTGCCATTCCTGGTTGCTGGTTGTTTTACCATTCCCTTTACCCTGCTCATTACTAAGCTGATGTTGCTCAGCTCCTCACCACCCTTTTTTATGCCCTGATTTTTGGTACTGGGCTGTGATGTTCCAAAAGACATCCCTCTTTGTCAGCAGCTCTCTGTCAGTTCTGCCAATACAGGGTGCTGCAGGGAGCCTGCAAGACTGGAGGGAGGAGCAGGGACCCATTCCTCCTTTGCTTGCGCTTCCTCTTAGAGTCTGCTCAGCAGCCATCCTTCCCACAGCAGCCTTGGGATGCAGCCTTCTGTGTTTTTCTGGCACTCTCACGGCCGTGCTTGTGCTTGCTCTCAAGCACCTGTAACAACCAGGCAGCCCCTCTTCAGAGGCCTCCGGCCCAGATCTGCCACCCTGCTCCGAGCTTCTGGGTGACAACACTGAGCTCTTCCCTTTGTTCCCTGGCCCAAGTGGTGCTAGCCTATCCTTCACAGTTGCTTTTCTGTGTTACCTTTATGATTCCTTTCACATATTCAGATCTCCAACCCCTTTCTTTTTTTCTTTTTGTTGTGAAAAACATAAAATTTACCATCTTAAACTTTTTAAGTGCGCAGTTCAGTGGTGTTAAGTAGCTTCACATTGTTGTGCCTCTAATCTCCAGAACTTTTTCATGTTACAAAACTGAAACTCTCTACCCTTGAAATATCTCCCCATTTCCCATCCCCCAGCCCCTGATGACCACCATTCTACTCTCTGTCTCTATGAATTGACTACTTTAGATACTTCATACAAAGATCTCCAATCCTTTATTTAGGTGTTGAATTTAATTGCCTTATTAAAATAATCGGCACAGTTTTTGTTTTCCTGATTGGACTCTGACTGATCCATCTCTGTAAATAGTCCCTTCTTTAAACAATTTTCAATTAAACTCTTTGAATGTGCCGTCGAATCCCTGCTGGGACCACAGCTGATACACTACGGAATTAGTGGGGAGGTCAAATGAAGATTAGGTTAAAAT